AAGACTGGCTTGCAAGTTATTGCATAAATAACTGATCTGTTAGTATGTAGATGCTCCATCAGAAATACAAGCAGCTATTCTTTTAGCCATTCTTTTTGCCAGCCACACCAAGAGATAGACCTCAAATTGAAAATTTTATCATCAACAGCATTTTCAAACTCACTTTTGAGAACCAAATTAAAAATAGGCTGAATTTCAGAGACCCAGAGCACTTATAATTTATGAAGTTGTGATTCCAATGAATACTCAGCAGATTTTCAGAAACCCTACTTAAAACATTTTATTTTTTGTACAAAATGGACTTTTACAATAGGAAAAAATAGTGAAATTTTGGTTTAGCATTGTTTGCATTTACATTGATAATCTCTTTTATTTCAAGCTCATGAATCATATTGTTAGATACTAATGTCTCTCCACAGATAAAGGTAGATAATTACCAACCAGCTACATAAAATTTCCTTTTTTATAACTTAATTTTTGTTACATATCTCTAGGAAAATATGGATGCAATATGAGATGCATCATCTACATAATTCACATTGCAGATCATATGACTTGTATGAAATATATGAATGGGCTTGTCAGAAATTGCTCCCTTTTGCACAAACCTACAGAACAGGAATAAGGACATCCCAGTATGCCATTGCTTCTGAGATGGATGCAGACCCAGTAGATTTGCTTTCACATTCAATTTGTTCATATGTTGTCCTCTAGTATGGTTTTATTTTAGAGAGAAATAACCATTTATTTATTTCCTACAGTCTGCAGTAGTATGGCATTATTAAAAATATACAGTGCAAAAGTATCAAAAGCTACATCTCTGAACAGGATTTATTTTAATTTATTAGTTGGAAAAAAGTATGGACTGGAAATTTTTATTGGGGACAACCAAGAAATGCACTGAAGCACACAATGCAGTACAAATGTGGATTCATTAATATAATTTTTCAAGAAAGCAAAGCAGGTAAACAATAAAATCATGAAAGTGTATTATTAAGAGAAAAATATGGATGCAGAAAAGAAACAATAGAAGTACTTTTAGCTTGGCTAGTTGCCAAAGTTATGTGTGATTACTTGTTATTATATAAGACAAAGAGACATCAATGATTTTATTTGTTCTGTTAAAATTAGTACAGGTGTCCCACCTTGGAATGGCATTGGTATTTAAAGGGTGTTTCTTTGTCAGCTTCAAAAAGTTGCATGAAAGGTGTCAGGTCACACTTTGGGAAACATGAAAAGCAATAACCCAGGCAAAAAGACTGAATTGCTTCTGAGTTCCAGACTTTTAGAAGTTCCTGGTACTTTGGGTGACAGGTTGTCCAGGAGCTGAGCATCTGAGCTGAGGTGAAGAGCCAATGCAGTTCATGATGCCTGCCAAGAGGAAGAAGAAGCTGTAAAGATCTCACTGAGCCTTTCTGGCCTCTGTCACCCCACTGAGATGTGCTGTGAGGAGCTGGCTGCTGGAGCTTCATTAGGATCACAGGATTGTGGGGTGACTGGTGACAACAGAGCCCCCAGGAGCCTCCACTCGAACTCTGCTCAAAGCAGGGTGAGCAGTGAGCCTGGACCAGGCTCCTGCTGTTGAGCCATTCTTCAGGCAGCTCTAGGAATATGCAGTTCTCCATCACATCAAAGAAACTGGGTCAGGGGAGGTGTGAGGACCTGTGGGATCTACCACTTGCAACACTTCTCTCTCTAGTTTTCTTTGAATTCACTCTTGCTGCTAGACTTGCTATTACTTGATTTATCTTCACTGTTTAAAAGTTGGGCTTCTGCCACGCAAACATCCACTGCCTTTCCCCTAAGTGCATGTGATTGTAACTACAGCTCTTGGCCAAAACAAACTGCAGGATCAAACCCAATATTAAACCTATTTATTTTCCTGGAAAGCCTTTGTTCAGTGGAAACTGCTAAAGGAGAAAGATATGAAACTCCTTTTCTTGCACGTACTCACTCTTGTTCACACAAACTCTTGAAGGCAGAATACTCCCTGTGTAGATGCATGGGGGTAAAAGATGAAGTATTCTTCTCATCCTACATCTGTTATGGCAAGAGAGGATATGTTCACAATGGGTGCATGCAGCAGAGCTGTTGCCCTTCCTCCAAGCTGGTAAGCTCAAACCTCATCATCCTTTGGATAAATCTACCCAGAGCAGGCTGCAGGATGGCTTTCCAAGCTGACCCTGGGAATAAATTCAAATTGTAAAAGATTACAGGTAGTCTATTTAAGTAACAATGTTAAAGAAAATCAATGCAGAATTTCATCTTTCCTTTCAGAGTTTTTATTTGCTTTTACCCTAACCAATTTGCACTCTGAATTCGTTCTACAGGCATAGTTATTTCTTACAGAAAAACCCAATATTATGTCCTGTATTTCATAGCTCTAGTTCTTCAGAGCTTGGCTAATTCCATGTAATCGAGGGTCTGCTGTCTTTCTGTAAGATCATGCTCTGCTTCTGAATGAGCAGGCAAACTCCACAAGTCTGCACACAGCCTGCAGCCCTTCATTTGCACCTAATGTCTCTGTTCAAAAAGACTTTTAGACACATTAAGCACAAGCTTAGTGTGAAATGGGCATTTAACAGCTTTGTCAAACTAGAGAAAGGTTTTTTGGCTTCAATATTGTTGAGATTTTACCCTGAGAAAGAAAACCTGTATATGGGATACTGCAAATCATATTGCACCCTCTGCCAGTCCCCCCCTCATGGGAAGGGAGTGTTTGCAACTGCTTCACTGGAGCTGATGGAATTCAGAGAGGCATTCCAGCTGGACTGAAAATAATGCTGTTCCATTGGGCAAAAAGGGGCTATCTGCTTTAAGAATCAAGACCTTAACTGCTCATATTCTGACCCAAGAATGTAATCAGCTTAAGGTGAGAAAACGGCCTCAAAACTTCAGGGCAAAAGAAAGCATTTTCTGCTGATCTGCTTAATGTAGGATGAGTTGACCTTAAGGATTTTAGAACAATAAAACAAAATAAAATTACATAAAATAAAATTGCATTACACAAAATTAAATTAAATATAATAAAATGTAATATAATTAATAAATTAATAAAATATAAGTCAATAGCTCAGTCGCTAAATTAGCAAAACAGCTGCACCGTTCTGGCAATGTCATAGGTTACATCAATAAAGTATTTCTATCTCACAGAAATCAGATAGTGATCTGTCTTGTTAGTAAAATGTAAAAGCTATAAAAGAAATAGTGAAACCAGTATTATACCTGCATAGCTCAGTAAATATGCCAAAAGGCTATTTTCTGTAATGAGATATTGTACATCATCTAGGCATGGTGGGCAAAAGCCATAACGAATGGGGCTGAATCAAGCAAACCTTCACTACAAGGTTCCTAGGGTGATATTCAAAATATAAGTTTTGTGCCTGATGTGCAATTTAAGTACATCGATCCACTAAAGTAATAAAAAAATGTTGCTTATGTTCTCACCACCTATCTGATAGACTGCACGCCTGTAAGATGTGCCTACACACCAGCAGCATGCAAATAAGAGTTGAAATACACATGAAGATATAGCATGCCAAGGGAAGCTGTGTCATTTGGAGGTGAGACAGAGTTAACTCAGTGTAATGACTCTTATGGCATTGTTGATTTATATCATACTGGAACACAGCACAAGTTTTACTCTGCCAGAGATCCAATGGTCATCTATTCTCCAAAAACATGTATTCCAGAAAATATGTTTATTTAGGTGCCTGCAGATCTCACACCAAACATGTTTAGACATGGTCCTGCTGGCCAAAGACTGTAAGAGCACTTTCATGCATTCACTGTTTTTTATTCAACAGATTAGAGTTTTGCCATAACTAATGAGTGAATGCTGAAGTTTTCTATTATATTTGGGTCTTGAAGACTTTCTGAAGTCAGGTCTGGAATTGTAAATTATTAGGTTGCTATCCATAATGCAAGGACTGCAAAAACTCCTCTAAAAAGGAATGCCTTTCCATTTATTAAAGGTGCTTCTCTAAATGCCATAAATAGTCAACTCCCAAACTGCCAGTCAGGAGTGTGAGCAGACTGCATCATCCTTCACTGAGTGTGCACATCACAAAGTGAGGCCATGGTAATAAGGGGGTAATGTGGTACATTAGACTCGGTGTCATGGCCAGAAGAGGCTCACATGGTAATTGTAATCGAGCATGATGTTATGCCTGGGGACAGTGTTGTTTAGAAAATCTCCAGTGAAAGTGCTGTTTTCACAAAGTGTTCTGAGATTCTGCTGTTAAATCATTAGAAAAGCATGACCAAGTTTTCATTTCATTTCATTTCATTTCATTTCAATTCAATTTCATTTTATATCCACTCTTACTTATACCTGGTTTTCTGAGGAAATTACAGTAGCATGATTTAGTGCCGGTTTCTTCATGAAGTTAGACAAAGTGGATCCTTGTTTTGAAAACGTATTTTCTTTCCTTCCACAGAAGTTACTTTTATGGAAGTCATTACTTCATTGACAGAGGGTTTTCTTCCAGTCAGTTTCTCACATCATAAAATCAGTGTCAGGATTTCTATTTAAATGCCATTTTCTTATGTTGAATACCTTTAAAACCTGTGCAATTAGTTCTATCTGAATGTAGAATAAGGATGAGATTTACTACATTCAACACCTTCATCAATCACGAAGAATCACCTCACTTGCAGATATGTTTCCCATAAAATGCTTACATTGCCCTAAATGTTCTAAGTCACACTTCAGACTAAAAATTCCCCTCCTATTGCTTATTTTATTCACAATACTTAAAACTTAAATGAACCAGGTAAGAATTCATATATGAAATTACTGGATTTTGAAATACCCTGACTGGCGAATGTTGCTTGTTTTCAGTAAAACAAGGCACTGAAACTACACCCTGAAAATGCTGTGCTTCCAAATCTATTTAATTCCAGTTTGTTGAGTCCTTATTCATTTTTCAGCTGTGAAATAACACCGTAGTCTAACCTTAATGAAATGCTTAATTGTTCAATTTGATTTGCTATTTTAGCTCCAGAAGTGTTCCAGGCTTTTATGGATGGAGGTCCAGGATACTCATACCCAGTAGACTGGTGGTCACTAGGAATTACAGCATATGAATTACTGAGGGGCTGGGTAAGAATGATGGAGTTTGTTGTTATCTAACAAAAATATCAAGTTTGTAGTGCCCCTGAGGGCACTTTTCAGGATAAAGTTTGAGTGTACAAGGCCCAGGTCAGGAATGCTGTCCTGGTTCTTTCCCAGCTGAAAAGACTCTTGGGAAAGTTTCACCCCATACTCAAATACATTATGAAAATTTGCCTCAGTTTGGCTAAGGAAAGGCCTAATTTTTAATGGCTTCCTTATAATGCTGAATTGCAAACAATGGTATTTTTTTTTCAAATAGAAGTTGAGTTACTTCTGACTCTATTATATCTTTGATTCTCTTAATACCATAAGAGATCTAATGCAGTATCTTAAGATGCTTGGCCCAACTACAGAAAATGCTTATCTGTGAGTGCATTTGTTTCTTATCTAATCAATTATGTGAATAAGCTTAATGAAAAATCTTCCTGAGCATGATCAAATGTAACAGAAGATAATGGAAAATTCTTTTCCATTTTGGTTCAAAGGATTTCAGTCAGTTGCTTAAATATTTACTATTCCCCATGGAAAACAGTAATTAAGGTACTATTTCAGGATGATGACGTGGCTGAAGCAGCTGTTTGGGGTTTTTAAAATTATTTTTCACGCCTGTTTTGGAAAGGGGATTTTATTGCATTGCAATATGCTTTTTTATATTATGACAGCAACACAGTTCTGCTACCTTGTCTTGCAAGACAATCCATCCCACAAAGATCTCACAATTTCATGTCGGATGACAGATAAAGGAAAATAGAAATAAAGAATAACAATTATTCCTATTTTTAAATTGAAAATTTAATTTCTGAGTGTCTGCATATTGGTACTTCAGAAGCTACATTTTTCAAAGCCCTAAAATTTGGCCAATCTATTATGTATTTCCATAGAAATAACAGATGTCATGCTCCTGAGACAAAGATGTTTCCCATGCAAAGACTGTTTCATCTCTCAAAGTAGAGTATTAAACACCTTTCTTAACAACAACAAACTAACAGTTATTATCAATTTTTCTCCATCATAATTCTGAAACCTGAGTTTTTAGATTGCCATTCTTCCTGGAATGGAGAAGTTAAAGTCTGGCAGTAATAAGCACAATACATCCTCAATCCTAGTCATAGACAGTAGTTCTAGCTGCACTTACAGAATTAAAAGAACATCCTGTTGGTTTTATATCAACCCTTTCACCAGTGACTACCTCCAAGGAAGGAGAGCAATGAATGATTGCTAATGAAACCTGAACTTCCAAGACTAATCACAAAAGATCACCCTGATGTGACAACTTCACTTTAATAAATGTAAAATTATATGGAAGGATATCCATTTGCCAAGATACATACAGTCCTTCCAGAGTAAGTCAATCTGGGTATAAACAAAGTAAAGTTGAGACTGAATCAATTATTTGCTAGGTTTTTTCCTTAAATAAAAGCATTGCCATCTGAATCTGCTCAAGTCACCCAAGTCAGCTGCTTGTTTTCCCCTGAAGAGCAGCTCTTGGCTACTGAGCAAGTCAGAGGATGGCCTGGGAGCCCACACCACTGTATGGACAAGGAAAAAGTGTATATTTTCTAAATTTTTCTGGTCTAGACAAGGCCTAAACTGACATGAATGCCGACAAGAGAAGTAGAAGTAGAGGAAATGTGCTTAACCCGAGGCACGCTGCTGTCTCAGCAGCAGAGAGCTCGAAGCCCCATCTGGGGCAGCAGCAGATGGCCATGAAGGCACAGCCTGCACACAGGGCTGTGAGCTGAGCCTGCAGGCACACAGCCCTCAGCTCCCTGTCCAGCAGCAAGGAAACTGCCCCAGTGCCACCAGGAACATGGGCTGCTTGGAGAAACCCACCTGTGCCAGCAGCAGCAGCCCTGGGCAGAGAGGAGGTTGTGGCACAGGGCAGAGGCACAGGACACAGGGCTTTCTGCAGGGGTGTGCTGCTGCATGGGAGAGGCAGGAGACAAGGAAAGAAGGAGCATTAGAAATAAGAAACATCACAAATTTGATTTTTGACCTCGGAGCTGTGCATAGCCTATGATGCTGACAGCCTGAATTCAAGAGGTGATAAGTAAAAGAAAAATGAGTAAAAATGATCTGGTTTTCATTGAGCTGAATTTTTGTTTTTATTTGCCTCTGCTGCTCAGGGTGCTCAAGGCATTCCAGCCATTCTCATTTCTGCTTTCCCACTGCTGGGCAGCCAAAAGCATGTTCTGCTTGAAATGAGCCTGTGGATACAGGAGCATGTCATGTCCAGTACGGAGATTTCTGCACCATTTTTTGGTCACCCATAGTACAGCTAACATTTCTCAATAAGTTGTAGATGCATTTTTCTCCTAATCTAGCTGCTGATAAAAAAAGCTATGAAGAAAAAAGCAAATTCATACAGCTTTGCATCTTTTCATAAAGTCCATGAAATTAAACTGTAATAAAACTGTATGGTGCAAACTGTGCCACATGTAAGTCTGTTCCTGAGCTATAGACAACTGCTAAAATGCTACAATAAATGTACATACCATGAATTCAGTAGAGACAAAGTGAAGGAATGAGTAGTAGGTGAGATTCCTAGATTCTGACTTTCACTGCAATGTGAACAATTAACAACAAACTTTGATTAAAAATCCTGAACAAAAGCAAACCAGATTATTTTTTTTCACAAAATAGAACTGAAGGGCTAGGACCCTTGAGTGGGTTGAATATCTAAAAACAGGGGAGATAAAAGTATGAAGGGCCTCAAAAGACCAAACTTATAATGGCCATTTATAGTTTGAATTTACTAATAAAAAATTTAAAATCTGCAAATATCAAAAAATCAAGAATTTGGAATGCTAATAATCTTGAAAATAAGGTAAAGTTAAGAGACTTTCAGGAAAAAGGCATGGACAGAAACATCCTTAATAGGGAAACTTTTACTGATTCATAATTCCTTATAGTTGCTAATTTTAGAGTTAATTACCGTTTTCAACAATTGGTGCACATTCTGTCTCAATGATCCTGTTGATCACATTGTTATGTGAAGTTAAGTCAGCAGTTGGTTGCTTCTAGGTGGCAGAAAGCATGTAAAAGTTTCATTTTTAATAACTGTTTTATGACAACATTACCACTTGTAGGGAAAAGCATATGACAGACTATTTCTAAAGACAAATTTGAACTCAATTCAGGAAAATTATATATTTAAAGCAGACATTTATGTCCTGTTAATTAATATAGACATGGTATAGCTAAATGACAATAGGCTGAATGTGAATCAAAGCAAAAAGATTTAGACCCTCCTTGAATTTATTTTTAGAACATCCCAGTGCCTTGAAATGCACTTGGTTTCATACATATGAAAATTAAATATGTGCATGGATCTTCCTAGAATATGTCCTGGATCTTTATGAAGAGTGATCCCAATTCCTTAACAGATTAGATACCTAATCACTAGAAATATTCTTAAATTATAATCTTCTACCAGTAATATACTGATGCCTTGAGAGGCTACCTAGAACAGAGGTTAGACAGTGTTAAAGGAATAAAGTAGGTATTTATTAAAAGGCTTTCAAACACCTTGGGCAGTGCAAGAGCCTGGCCATTGCTCCACCCAAGGTGGATGACCAGTCACAAGTTCTCACACTTTTATAAGTTTTGGTCTATTTATATTTTGGGGTTAATTGTCCATTTGCAGCTTCAGGTTATGAAGTCCCATCCTCCCAGATTGCTCTCCTCAATTCTCTGTTGTTTACACTTTTTGGGCCTGAAGCTGCAACGATGTCCCTGGTTCTCAGGCTGGAAAAGGATTGTTTTGTCTAACTAAACTGTGAAGAGAACTTGCTAACACTTTATATAAAAAGTTCAGAGTTACATACTAATGCAGTACAGAATATGGAAAACACGAAAGCTAAAACTTAAGGCGTCAATACTAGCAAAAGTCAAGAGATGATTCAGTTCTTAGTCAAGGTAATGAGTGTCTGCCCTTTGCTGTTCAGGATATTGGATTAATAGGTAACTCTATGTTGTTTATGAATTATGATGCATTAATTTGCACACTGCTGCTAGGATGGCATTTAGCAGCAGATCTCATATCACATATTTATCACCTGCTGGGTACAACTTAATTCACAAACGATCCACTCTCTGTCCTTGTTTATAAAATGTATTAAGTATAATTATAACAACTTGCTTCAAACATACAAGTATGTGCACGTAACAAGAAAATAACAAGAATATAAATTTCTATGTAGTACTTTATTTCAAAATTCTGCATGTAATAAAAGATAAATCAGAGAAGACTTCATGAACAAAGCACAGCAAAGACCAAAGCGTTTCTTCATCTGTAGAAGAATTTAGGTACTGCAAATACATGACAGCAGTTCCATGTGGTGTGTTAATTTTGGATTTTGAAAAAAAACAAAGGAGAAGGGTTGGAATTTGGAGCCTTCTTTTTTTACTGTGATTCTGACTTTTGTAAGGATTTTTTAGTTTCTTTATCTACTACTCTTTAAAATTAGGATGACAAAGCTCCTTTCAGCCACCTCTTTTTGATTTTGTCGATTTAGGTCGCAAGAACTGATCACTAGTATTATAGGCAAAAAATAGTAAACAATCCACATTTCACATAGGATGCCCCAGGAACAAAATTATTTATTCATCTCATTTGAACTGATACTTCCTTTCATGAGAGAAAAATTTGCAGAGGAAATGCATCTATGAGTAATTACATTCATTACATCCACAGAAAAGCACAAAGGATTAGACTCAAAATTGTTATAAGATGTTTTTGTGGTTTTGATATTTTCAAGGTAATACTGAGCTCAGGAATATGTAAATAATCTGCTCTCTGTTATCCATTCTTGCTGACTTGATATTGACTTAACTTTACCCCAGAGGCCCTATGAAATTCATTCAGCCACCCCCATTGATGAGATACTCAACATGTTCAAGATGGAAAGAGTTCACTACTCATCCACATGGTGCAAGGGCATGATAGCACTACTGAAAAAGGTAAGAAAGCACAAATGCCTTCTGTCCTCTGTTCTCTCCTTTTCCAGAAGCCTCTCCAAGACTGGAAAATGCATCACACAAACGCACACATTAGGTAGTCAACCTTTCAAGGATAAAAGAGCAGAGCTTATTTCTAGGCTGTTCTGAGAGTGGTGTGGTATTTTCTTTCAGAAGGTGCAATATTCTTAGGCTTAGACTCACATTTTCATGGCTTCAAAGAAATAAAAATTTAATATTTCTTTTAAAGCTGATTCACTACTGATAGTAAAAGTTTGGGGCTCAGTAATTCCTCTTCTGTGCCCTTGCCCCATTTCCCCCAGCTATGGATATATGGAAGGAAGGACCACTCTGCCCTCTGAATTTCTGCTGCAGTTTCCAGACAGGGAGATTAGAACTTAAAACGGCTGTGTCTCTTCCTGTCCCATGTTGCTATAGTTGCAACAACAAAAGTCGAGCCACTTTGCTGTAAGCATCACTAACCAGGGATCTTTCTGAATGCATCAGACCCTAAAAATTATTTTCTTCCTAAAATCACAGTTTTTTGTTTGCTTTAATTGTCTGGCCACATCACAAAGATAATCTGTCTCTTTTAGGTATTTCAGATCATCAATATTGATACTTAAACAGGAGATATTTGTGAATGTCTGAATAGAGTAATAAAAAATATGTCCTTTGCAGCAATTAGCAATCTCGTTTTGAATAGATAGAGCAGTGAGGTGGATAATTTTAATTGCTGCCAGGATGCTCAACGTAACTGTATCTTCCAAAAAATTAAAGAGAAACTACAAATTGTTGGGTGGCATTGATCTGTGATGTTTCATCTCTCTTGGGCTCTTGTGTATTTGTAAGCAGACTTTTGTTGCTAATACATTTATACACTGCATGCCTGCAACAGCCATCTGGTGGCAATTAAACTGCACTCATATCCTATGAGTTATTACTTTTAATTTTTTTTTTAATTGGGACTTCTAGCATCTGTTAGAAGATTCCCTAGCCATTTTCTTACTTAAAATATGTGTCATACAATTTATGTATGTTATACATTTATTTTTCTATATGGCATCCAGTCCCTTAGAAAATGCCTTGTGCTTGATCACAGCTCCTCACCAAGGACCCAGAGTGCCGCCTCTCCAGCCTTGCAGACATCCAAAACTCTCCATACCTAGCTGATGTCAACTGGGATGCTGTCCTAGAGAAAGCTGTGACCCCAGGCTTTGTTCCTAACGTAAGTCGATATTCCAGGTGAATAGTGTTTGTAATTTCTGACTTTAATTATCACTGCTGTTTTACTTGTTTATGCTTGTATTTATTGCTCTTCAGTGATGTACTTTGGATTCTACTCTCATTTACTCAGTCACAGCTGAGGGAAAATTCATCCCATTTCAACAGATCACAAAAAAAACCTAATTAACCTTGGTTCACTTTTCGTTCTTTTTTAAATAAAAGAAAAGTTTTTTCTGACTTTGCATTTCAGCTGTTAGAGCAAATGATTGTCAGAGTTAACTCTGAGATAAAGAAGACTTTTGTGGCTGTGAAAGTTAGACATTTGAATAACATTTGTAAAACCTTTTAACATCCCAATATGCTGTTACTTTTTCACTTAAAAAAATAGTGTTCCAAAAGGCTGAGCTATTTCCTCTGTGACAGTTTCTTACAATAAAACATTCTGATTATGTGAGGGAATCTGATAGTTTCTTTTTTACTGTGGTCCCGTTTTGTTGGTATTTTCTGGATATTTCTTTTTTTATCGTTTTCAAGTTAAATGCATTTGAGGACCATGAATAAAAAGCAATGACTGTGGTGTTAATATGCTGCTTCACTTTTTTCAGTCATATTGCTTTATAATTATTGGCCAAACAACATATTTGTAGAAGACCAAGGTTTGTTTCTGGGGATTTTTTTATGCAATTGTAAATAAAGATGAGAAAGGTGGAATAGGTAGACCCTGTCTTCATCCAGGTGCACATTAGAGTTCATGATAAACATGATGGGGACAGGATCCAACCCTTCAGAAGTTGAAGGTGAGAGAGCATTACCTAATGGAGCAAAGGTAGCCAGGTGTGCTGCCAAGACACTGCTCTCCATGTTTATTTACTGAGCTTCTTGGCACCTGACCAGAGCCCCTCTGGAAGCAACATCCTGCAGGAGAAGAAAGCTGTGGCTGGACAAGCAGAGTGTCCCTCAGGGAACTGGGAGAAAGACCAGGAACACAGCAGGAAACAAGCACAGCAGGAGAAGGGAAAGGCAGATCCATTAGAGGCACAACAGGGCAATGTTCACCTGTGGGAAATTCCTTCCTTTCACTTTGCAGCTCAATCCCAGTGCAAGAGAAAAGCTGGAAAGGTGAATATCATATCTACCAGGCCATGACTTTTTGGCTCTTATTTGATGTCCATGCAGCTGGAATAATTGCTGTGCCATGCCAGGATCCTCCTCTCACCCCCAGGTCGCAGTCCTCAGCAGAGCAAGGCAGAACAAAGCTCCCTCCTGGCCTTGGACTCTGCTCTCCTGGTGTGTGGATCTACAAGATGAGCGGACACTGACTTTCCTCTTTTCCTTTTTTCAAGTTAGGGCTGCTCTTTGAGATATCAGAGGTGTGGACTTGCTTCTTAGGCAAAACTCAGCCAATGATTTACACTTCCTACTCCCAGCTAAAAGTTTAATCCACAACTGTCAGCATGTGGAAAACTTCACAACACAGTATTTTGTAAGGGAGATCCAGTTCCCCAAAGATACAACATAAGTGAGGTTCCAAGAGTCTCAGACTCTGCAAAGACATATTTTCTTTTCACATTTGGATTCACTTTAGTTGTGTTTTGACAGGCATCTATTAATCTAAGGGGAAATCTGTAGTATGTGAAGCAAAATAATATTCTACATTTGAGAGGAAATAGGAGTAAAATGTTTCATTTATCTATGCAGATTAATCTGAAAGTCCCATTACAAGCTCTACCACACTCTTCCGTGAAGAGTCTGATATTGCAGGGCTTGTCCCACCTGGTCAATCAAGTGTGTCAGGAAAAACAGTGTGGTGAGAATCAAAGTGTCTTTTCTAGTCCAACATTTCTTTAAATAGAAACTTTGCTGTTTCATGAGACCTAATTTGGTCACACATTTTCCAGGAACTTTCAATTTGTAGCACCAGCAAAACTTTCACTGATTAATTGGGATCACACAAGAAAATATTTCTTGTTTTTCAGCCTTTGGTGAGAAGGTGAACTGGGACCCGTGACCTGCAGAGTGCCTTGAAACCAAAGAGTTTTATAAATTTTCACAGCTTGCCATGACTATCAGGACCTTGTCTCCCTTCTTCAGGAGGAGGGCACATGGGAGGCCCATGGGAGCAATGTCCCATAGCTTAATTTCTCCCTTATATTTTGATTCCATAAACATAGCTCTTACTTAACTAGCACATGTGTTTCTTTATGGCTTAGCTAGTTTCTTAATTTTCAGCTTGGAGTCATAAACTGTTGTAAGGTTTTTAAAATATAATTTGCTTTTATATTTAAAGCTTCAGAATTAAAGTATTATATTTTTAAAGTACTCAATCAAATCTGAAAACTATGGATGCTCAAAGAAGGAACTGACATTGGCGAAACCTAGGGAATTATTTGTTTATTAATAAATATAAATAAGCTGTAAACTGCCAGTAATAAAAACCAAATATATTCTACTAAAGCTGGCTGGGTAATATGCAGGAAAGGGCATCAGATATCTATTATAGTCTGACTGGACAAAATTTGCTAAGAATAAAAATGATGGAGTGATTTCTAAACCAAATGTTTCATTGTAGGACACCACAAATTATACAAGCAGTTTCTGATGTGATTTTACTGCTTTGTGTCTTTGGTTGCTAAATATATCTGTCATTTATATATGACCTATTTTAATACTTCCACCTTGACAGTGACAATGGTGTGATTGAACTCTCAGAAATCCCAGACGTAAACTCTTTTTTAACAAAGTATCTCAGGATAACAAAGAATCTTAAAATTTGCTTCAAGCATGACAAATTAATATTTTTTAACGGAGAATCCAAAATATTGTGTGTAAGGTAAGGAAAACCTTAATAAAGTGGATAGAATAGAAAAAGAATAATAGATTAGAATGAAGCACCTGATTGGGAAAAGTCAACAAGGATTCACCAAGGACAAATGGTACTTTGCAAACCTTATTGTATTCAATGACAAAGTAACCTGCTCAGCTGATATGGCGTGAGTGGTTCTCATTGTTTACCTGGATTTCTCTAGGGCTTGTGATACAGTTTCACACAGCCTCCTTTTTGAGAATTGTATGTGTTTTGGTGTAGAAAAGTGATCCAGGTAATGGGTGGGGAACTGATGGGGGAGGTGGAAAAGAGCTCCTTCTCACCCTGACAGCCTGTCACAAATGGGATCCCCCAGGGATCGATTTTGGGTCTAACACCTTAACAAGTGGTGTGGATGATGGGATCAAGTGTGCCCCGAGGAAGTCCACTGATGATACCAAACTGAGTGGGGAAGTGGACACTTTGGGAGATCTACCCTGCAGGAAGACCTTTGTAGGACTGACCTGACAAGAATCTTATGAAGTTCAACAAGTGTGAGGTGTTAAACCTGGGAAAACAGAGTCCAGGGGTGTAGTACAGGGTGGGCTCTAGCCAGCTGAGGAACAGCTCCAGCAGCTCTGGACATCCAGGTGGACAGCAAGCTCAGTGAGAGTGACCAGGGGGCTGCCATGGCAAAGAAACCAACGGGGTGTTGGTTTGCATCAACAAGAACATCACCAGCAGAGATAAAGAGGTCATTGCCCCAGTCTGCTCAGCACTTGCCAGGCCACACCTCAAATACTATGTTCAGTTTTGGGCCCACTACACAAAAAAGATGTGGACAGGATGGAGAGGGTCCAGAGAAGGGCCACAGAGATGATCAGAGGAGTGGGAAATGGGCTATAAAAGGAAAGGCTGAGAGAAGTGGGCTTGTAGAGCCTTGAGAAAAAAAGGATTAGGGGAGACCTTATCACCATGTCCTATTACTTAAAGGTTAGCTACACAGAGGGACACTACTTTTTTACAAGGAAGAGATAAGGGGTATTGGGTATAAGTTACTCCTAGGAAGATTGGACACAAGAGCAAAACTTTTCACAACAATCATCCATTTCAGTGATCTGCCCATGAAAACGGCTGGATTCCCTAAAACTGCACTCTTTTAAGATTCAACTGGACAGGTTGTTGGGCCATCTTGTCCAGACTGGGGACTGTGGTTTTGTCCAGAAAAGTTTGACTAGATGATCCCTGAGATCCTTTCCAACCTGGGATTCTATAATACTGTGAACTCTTTTTAATATAACTGCTGCTGATCAAAACAGTCCTGCTCCTTCCTTTGTTCTCATAGACAGGATCTAAGTAAATGAATCCACTGGAACACTTCAGAAAATCAGATTTCAACAAGATCTTAGAAGTATTCCCCATCTCTTCTGCACTATTACCAGTGTCATCTATGCTCTAAAGCACTAACTGATATTCTGATGAAGACCTTGGGCCAGGTTAATATCTCTCACTGGGGTAACACAACTTTAGTCACTCTAGGAATATATCTGTTTATAACTAGGAAGAGGATCTAATTCTTTATAATTGCCTTATAATATGATTTTTATCTTATCTCCCTTATTTAAACTTTGAGCATCACTCCAGGCCTAAAAAGACAGTTTTCATTTTACAGATGTGATTGAAGAGCTGGTTCATTATTTCTGCTGTTTACACTTGCCAAGCAAATTAAAAAAACATAACGGTGCTTCAAAGTGTAACTTTGAATCCTTTTGTACCAGAAAGGAAGACTGAACTGTGATCCCACATTTGAACTTGAAGAAATGATTTTAGAGTCCAAGCCTCTCCATAAAAAGAAAAAGCGACTTGCCAAAAACAAATCCAAGGATGGAGCTAAGGAAACCTGCCCACTGGTAAGATGGGGACTGTGACTGCAGTCAGTGGCATCTTGTTTGCACTCTAATAGGCAAACTCAGTTAAGATCAATTTTATCCCCTCTGAAAATAGACTCAACCCCTCTGTCTGTCATTTTATACACTGCATAAATCATCTACAAAGCAAGACAAAAAGCAACCATTTATTTCAGCCAAATAGTAACAACCTCTTTAAGCTATAATAATTTTTAAATTATCACAGATGCTCATTTAAAGTATGAAAAAGTGTTGCCAGTTGCGAAAAACACTTCCCACACATTAACAAATAGTTACAAAGAATATTTATTTGCTACTACTACCAAAAATGAAAAGTATGCAGTGAAAAGACTTGTTATTTATAAATATGTTAAAGCTGTCTCTTTCACTCTTGACTAATATGTTCCATGTAGAAAGATGCATTGTATAAACAGTCAAGAGTACCAAGAAGATTAATAATAATTTCCAGACTTGAATTATCATTCAAGTGAGGTTTTATAAATTATGTTGCTACTCCTAATGATTTTGAATGTTCATGCAGGCTGCTCTTCCTAGAGCCATCAGATGTAAAAATCCTCAGGAATTCTTTGTGGGGAACTTTTTCCAAAAGAATGAGATTGATTGTGCTATCACAGCCCAATTTAATGAGTCTTCGAAATGCCTCTTGATAGCATTCATTCATGAGCCTTTTTGTTCAGTGTTGTTTGTGTTGTTGTGATTTTTGTCTATGATTTCTCATCTTTTTTAATCAACCTATTCATGCTGTTTTTTAAAGAACGTACACCTGCAGCAGTGCTTGGAAACCGTTAGGAAAGAATTCATCATATTCAACAGAGAGAAGTAAGTGCATTTCTTAATGCCTCTTTAGCATTCAGTACTAAAATTAAATTGAGAACTATTTTTTTTCTCACAGTGTAAGGGAAGGTGATTAATGATCACAGCAGCAGAGCCTAAAAGGCTGGATTTCCATTGATTCCTTCCTCTTATAGTCTCTGGTGTGATGGTTTTGTAGTTCTTGCACCTCTGAAAACAAGCAGAAGACCTTGTGATGTATGTTAGAAATATAAGGTTAATGTTACTGAAACTCCCCAGAGAAACTGTCAGTAATTAAGCAAAGGAATACAATAAAAAGTACTGCTTTTTCACAACTCAAACAAAACCACGAGTAGTCATAACTCATGAAATTTTAATATGACTTGGAAAAACTGTTCATATTTCCACACTATTTAAAAAAACAAAACAAAACAAAACAAACCAACAAAAAGCCACCAAAAAAAAAACCAAACCAAAAAAACAAGCAAAGTTCAACAGAGCTAAGTATTACATCTATACCAGACATGAAGCAAGAACTTCTAATCTAAGGGTCAGTCAGGATTGAGAGAAGCACAAAAGTGATTCCCAAGGATATCAATAATCTTCCTGGTTCAATTAATGCACTGCATTTCCCATAATTTACTGCCTCTGAGTTGCAGTCATTATGGACCCATTTGTATTAGCAGACACAACTCATAACAATGCAGTTGTTTGTGTCTTCTGTCAAATTATCACACTTCATTCAAGTGTATTCCATGTTTTTCTTTGACCTAATTATATGTGCAAGGCTTTCTAATAGAGTTGTGAGATGTTAAAAATTAATTTAAAAGTTGTGACTATTCTATTTAGTGCATACAATGCAGGTAATTACTGTCTCTGTAATTAAAACTGAGAAAGGAACTGTCAGCTTTGCAGAGTTCACACAATAGCATGCAGGAATTTATGCCATGATTTACCCTTCTTCCTGTAACAATCCATGGGACATTTCTATGGCTGATACTGACTGCTCACAGAAGCTGCAAGGTCTCAGAGAGAAAAAGGAAGGTCCAGCAGATTCTTCATGTTATTTTGCCTGATCTCTAGCACAAGAAAGTCATTGGTTTCTGTAAAAGCCATAAAGAAGAGAAGGCAGACCAAGTCAGCCCGTAGAAGGTTTTAAGCAGCATCTTGGTGAATTCTCTGAATCAGCTGAACTAGGGAATGCTCAAACTTTGTAGTTTAACACACGAAAATCAAAATTATTAGGATCACAATAACAAGATTAGAAAAATATTACATTGATTAATCAATTTAATGAGTTTCCTAGAAGCTCATTAAAGAAACATGAAGTATAAAGAAGCTCATTCATTTCCAGATATTAGTCTCCCATCTACTCTAGAATCAGATATGAAGCATATCCAATATGCAGCAATTTTTGGAAGTTAGAACACCAGATTTGAGTAAGACACTCAAAATCTCATTGGTGTGTTCACTACCTTGAACAATTTATCTTGTCATGATTTTACTGTGTTATTCTTAAATCTTTTTATGCAAAGGAAATTTTTAAAATTTATTTCATATATACAACTACAGTAGCAGCACAAGCTATAAAGAACTCTGAGAGGCTGATGACAGATCAGGAAGTTTAAATAGGTTACAAGTAAAATGGAAGCAAAAGGCAAACCACGTGCACTTCAATCAGAAAATGTTTTCATCATTGCTTGATTGGCTTTGACATGGTAAAGGAAGAATATTTAGTATAGACCTATAACAGATCCATTATCTAAAGCCAGATCACAACTATTTCTCTATTAAATTGAATCATAGATTAAGAAAGACATGGAGAGACTTCTGTAATATTTTTCAAAGAAAGAAATGTTAAGAAAGGAGGAAGCAGATGTCAAATGTTAGAAGTGCAAAGTGAATTCAAGTTAATGAGAATTAAATAGGAGCAGTGTCAGGCACTGATGCCGTCATACCAGAAGTTACACAGAATACCAGAGGAACTCAGGGTGGGGTTCCTCAGACCTTCCATGCCCTCAGGACTGGATGTGCAGGCTGAGGCTGTGCTTACATGGGTTCCCAAAGCCACATGGCCCATCAAGTTCTTAGGAACAGCTGCAGATGCTGAAAGATGTGAACCATTTGTTCCTACAAATATAATACCTATTAAAATGTGATTGCATCATTAGGTGAGGTGTCAATCCCAGGCAGGGTTTTAAATCAGTCTCAGATCAATGCAGCCAGATGTTTTGATATTCTTCCATGTTCCTCTACATAGTAACTGTTGAAACTATCTTCATATTTCCTTAGATATTCATTATATTCAGCAGCAAAAATCTACATTTTATTGTCACTTAAGCCTTCTGCTCAGTTTACTTCAGTGTCACAAAACACTATATAAATCCTAATAGAGGATGGAAAATAAATATCATGTCTTTCAAGGGAAAAAATGGCACTCCCCAGACTACAAGGATTCAAGAAAAAAATGCAGATGCTTCCAACTGAGCAACATAAAGTCAGGTATTAAAATGTAGTTAATTTTGTGGTGTTAACCATCCAGTTCCATAACATCTTGCAATTCAATACTTGTAAAATATCTGCTATGAAAATCAAAATCTGATTTTATTGAATGCCTTGCTGGTAATTCTGCACTGTGCCTCTTTTCCACAGTGTGTCTTTCATCCTGCAACAAACACTGGAAATCTTGCAAGGTGTCATGCTTATTTTCTTGTCAAGAAGCTCAGGACACTATGAGAAACTTTTAGATTGCAGGCAAGAGGAGAAGTGGGAGGTAGAGAGAAAGCTCACTGTGCTAAAAGAATTTAAACATAGTGGAAGAGACTGAAGAATGTTAAAAGTTTCAATTAATGATGAAAAAGACAGAATGTGCACATTTTCTTTATTCTATTGCTTTCTGTATTAATGTAATGGAAAACTGGTATTTGTAGGAATGTTTTAAACAAGGGCTTCATGGACAAAGATATGAAGTTAGTGACTGTCAGCAGTGGGTAAAAAAGTTAGATTTGTACACCTTACACAAAGCTGGTCAGAGGGCATCTTCTGTTGAATATTTCAGTGCATGTGAGCTACAAATTAAAATGTGTGTGTGTGTGTGTGTGTGTGTGTGTCTGTGTCTGTGTCTGTGCCTGTGTGTGTGTCTTTAGATATGCCATGGGGGTATGACATCTGTCCGCAGTGACATTATCTTCCAGTACCTTCAAGACAGGGGCACACACTGTCCTGGTCCAAAGTAAAAAAACATTAGGAAAATCCTTTTTCGGGATTTGTTTTCTATTCTTAAAAGTGGCGGTGTAGTCTCTTAGTTTTGAATACATAAACTAAATAAACTCTGATATACACACGATCCACATACTGATTAGCTTGAAAATATTATCTGAAGCAGGTTGCAAGGATCTGTTTGGCTCCTTTTGGTGACAAAATAATTTTTTGTTGTTTTAATTCCATTTCTGTACATAGATATATTATTATATCCAGAAATGCAGCACCAAACATTTTGCAGAACTTAATGTGTATTCCCATAGACTTGTCAGCAATTTTTAAAGAATTTGATATTATTTAGAAGCTGTAGGCTACATTTTCAAGTTTTCTTTTTTTAATTTTGTGTGTGCTTGTGGTGGGGGAGATTGTACAGATAAAGCCACACTCTTTGCTTTTAGCTTTATTAAAAAGTTGAGCACAGATTATTTTGCTATTTTTGTGCTGTTATAACTAAACAGATCTTCACATACAACTACATCTCTTTATGGATATATAAAACCTGAAATGACCAGAAATTAAAAATAAGACCCAATATTTGCTTGTAATGAAATCATATTTCTTACCCTTTATGGTCCTAAGCTTCTTCTTCTCCCTTGAAAGATGTCTTTAAGATTGAAGACGTGAGAAAACAAAGAACAGAGAAGAAAATACAAGATATATTTGCCTCTCAGGCAGAATAATCCTTCAGAGAGATGCTTCATAAACTTAATCAAAATTATCAGCCTGCTAAAGAAAGCAAAATCAAACATTCATATTTTATGAGTAGAATATGTATTTGATATGACCAATGTATATGAAAATGGGTTAGAATTCTGCAAAACTAGTTTAACAAATGCAATGAACTGATTAGGAAAATATATATGTTTTTAATAATTCCAGTAAAAATTTTCAAAACATTACTAGTGATTTTGAATTTGGAGGATTTTTACTTTATACTAATATGCTGCAGTAGCATTGTTATGATATTCAGCTGTTTTGACTCCACTGATGTGAACAGACTTGTCTCTGTCCAAAGCTGCTGTTACACCTTATTCCTCTTCTCAGTATTTGTTCAATGCTAGCACACTAAAAAATCTGCCACAAATTGAAGCACATTACCCTGTCTTTTCCTGCTATCATTCCTACCATTTAAGCACTTATAGTTCTCTTATAGATGATCCTCAACAGCTTGAGGTGAACAGACAGCTCTCTGTTCCCAAAATAAACAGCAAAACTTGAGGGAGCATATTTTAATCATATTGAAATCCTGTTGTCTGATTTTTCCATATTGTAGATGAAAAGCTTACTTTATATTCTCTGCATTTTTATAAGATCAAGTTTATTATCTCTCTCATTTTAGTTCTTTTTCTTTCCTTCTAATTGTCTTTTCAGATTCACATACAGAGTCCCTGAGTACTCTCTTTCATTTTAGTTTGATTGAAATTGAATATTCATAATGATTTGCAGTGTACTTCTTTGAACATATTTTTCTTAATACCTATTTTATGTCACTTTGTGTCTCTGGAGATATTTATCATAATCCTGCTAATATATGAATGCTTTTTGGATGAGACTGCAGCCCTTTTCTTGCCCCTTCTGCTGACCTTAATTCAGTTCAAATCCTTTTTTTTCTGAGCATTTCTAGTGGTTGCACTGCTCTTCACTGAACCTTTCTTCTCCCTTTTGTAATGGATACGTCTGCTTTTGGAGATTGCTCTTGCAATTGGAAAGATGTTTTTCTGAATGTGATTGAACATGGTTTGAGTTTGTGCAATAATAATTGTTGC